ACAGTCAGTTGTTACCTTAACTCGCAGTCAGTTGTTACCTTAACTCACAGTCAGTTGTTACCTTAACTCACAGTCAGTTGTTACCTTAACTCGCAGTCAGTTGTTACCTTAACTCGCAGTCAGTTGTTACCTTAACTCGCAGTCAGTTGTTACTTTAACTCGCAGTCAGTTGTTACTTTAACTCACAGTCAGTTGTTACCTTAACTCACAGTCAGTTGTTACCTTAACTCGCAGTCAGTTGTTACCTTAACTCACAGTCAGTTGTTACCTTAACTCGCAGTCAGTTGTTACCTTAACTCACAGTCAGTTGTTACCTTAACTCACAGTCAGTTGTTACCTTAACTCGCAGTCAGTTGTTACCTTAACTCGCAGTCAGTTGTTACCTTAACTCGCAGTCAGTTGTTACCTTAACTCGCAGTCAGTTGTTACCTTAACTCACAGTCAGTTGTTACCTTAACTCGAGCCGGTTGCATGCAGGAATTCAAACTAATAACTAAAGGCGAAAAATTTATCACCATTTTTTATTTTAGAATTGTTTCAATAAGTCTTGACAACCATACATACCCGTTTAATAACAACATATAATTTGTTTCACCCTATGTTATCACATACATATAAAGTCATTATCACAATGTACACCATGAACTTGGTAGAGTGTTTTGAAGAAATGTTTCCAATATCACAATTTGGAAGTGTTTGCTAGGAGATGTAATTTCATGGAAGTGTCTTCTTCAAGAACCCCAGTAAAATGTTCGCTGAAACAAATTCATATGAAATTCACAAAAAATGGTTTGTGTATTTTGCATATGTTGTATATATCACATGGGACCCATATGAAACACGGCATGACATCTGCGTCATTCATCCCTCTGAATGCTAGCATTTTTTCTACAAATATTTTGGCCCTACATTTTGCATATTTGTATGTAGTTTTTTGATTTTGAACTATAGACATAATTTCTACAAGTCTTGAAAAATATTAAATGTGTTTATTTTAAGAAAGCTGACAGTTAAAAAAAATGGGTGATCCCCTGGTTATCATCACTCAGAAGCTATTATGCAAATGACTGTGAATTATTCATTCAAAGTCAACACAATGCACAGAGCATTTCCTCAGTTACAATATATGAATAAAGATATATTATTCATTGACCTTGGAGTTACAACAAAATGAGGAAAGTCCTATACTTGGAACAAGTAAGCTATTTTCATGAAAATGCAATTAAAAATTATGTACTTGAAGTAACATTCAGTTTGGTTTTTTTCACTCTAGCACATACTGTGATAAATTATTGGTTTTGTAATCTGTACACTTGACACTATACTCATTCCATGGCTTGAATTAAGCAGATTGCCAGACAAAAGCCCAGTAAATAAATAAGCCTATTACAATGACAGAAAATTTCCTGCGTGATTTCAGGTATGCTCTGTTTCACTTAAGGCATTATTCACTTTTTTTTTTTTCAGTTTGGTGGTAATCAGACATTCACATTTGAATACAGAAAATCGCTACACATGTTTCTTGCGCATGTAGCAAAGTGTTAATTTGTTATCATCAAGGCAGTGATAAACGTGAAATCGAAGATAAAGAACATTTTGTTTCCCCTAAAATGTGAACTATACACGAGTGAGAAAAATGTGCCATATAAGTATGTGAAAGAGTTTTGTTTAGATATTTCCTTGTTTTTATTCATTGTACAACTTTATCATTGTTTAAAAATAGATACGATTCAATAAAAATTATTATCATCATTAGCTTTACGAATACATATGTACAGTTATATATCTTAATGATGTGAGACAGGCCGCATATGGAGGATGTCTAATGAGTCATTATAGTTAATAAATAATATTATAAAAGTAATTTTTCATTTGGCCCTTGCCAAAACATAGAACATACGAAAATCATTAATAATTAGTTATAAAAGGGTTTCGGTCACTGCATGCATATTCAGATTTTACTCAAAAAATTCGGTTATTTTTGTCCCAATCTTCTGAAGGAAAGAATAGATTATAAATGGGACTATTTTGATAATTTCTGAGTAAAAGAGGGAACTGGTGGTGAAAAAGATAAGCTGGTATTGGTATAGAGCTGTGATATATTTCCCAATGATGCAATACACGAAACAGATTGCAAACAATTGAAAATTGAATGAGTTCATATTGAAGCATTAAGCAGACAAAGTTTCTGGATTAGTCTGCGGAACTCACAATTATTTGACCATATTACTGTAGTCAACAGTATGAGGACTTTTTGTGTTCACTGCCTTAGTTTTTTGAGAGCAATTATAAATCAAAAGATTTGTGAATGAAAGTTAACACCATGTATGTACATACGGTTTTTGGTTTAGATACAATTATATACTGCTAGATGCATGGAACCCTGGGTGGGTGGGGTACATCAATTGACAGTGAGGGGAGCAGTATGAAATTCAAATCAGTCCGATTTTATGTCTACACCAGTTAATATTTTGTTCAGAGGTAAAGTACTTAAATTCTGAAAATAATAAACCATTCTTCCATAACATAATAACAAATCTGATAATCTACCCCGCTAAATACGCATAATCATTCCTTTCTCAATTGCAAATTGAATTTCCGAGAAATCAGTTTTTAGTTTGTCTGGAATAATTTATACGTGATACAGATCTCAAACTCACCTCCTCGGTGGCCAATTACTCTCGGCTTGAATTTGATCTCCTTCCGCCGATGTATTAGATTCGGATATCGCAAAAGAACCAGGGAAGTCACCACGTATCCGGTGAATATAGTCAACAGAACCATCGCTGTGATCATGTGAGCGTGTCAAAGAGACCAAAGTCAAAAATAATATCTTCGTTTCTCTTTCTGACCGTCTTTTCTCTGATCAGTTTCTTCCAGCTGTTCACTGCACATGCGCGATAAATTTGGCGACCCGGAAGTAAAAACTCGGACAGATTGATCTAATCTGAACTTTTAGTTTGTGCTACTTTCGTGATTATGAATTATCTTCGCGTGTGTACGTGTTTGTGGTGATTGATTGGAAATTGCCAGAGATCCTTACTTAGTACTGCGCAGACTCAGACGTGATATCTGAATAACAGTGGTTATCGAAATCATACTGAAAACAATTGCAACAGAGCTCAAAGTTCAAAATCTTGGTTAGTCTTAATTTTATTAAAATTTCGATAAAAATATTGCTGAGAAAAAAACATGACAACTAAAGGAACGCCATGATGCTACTGATGGTGTTGATTTTTTTATTGTCATGTGTGGTATACATCGTACACACGTTATTGGATTCTTCCAACAGTTCGCACGTTTCCAACACAATCGACGATTTCATTGACCTGGGGCCAGGTGAGATGCTGACATTCCTTTGATTGTGCTTGGTCCATCTGAATCTCACAGCACGAGTCAAAATGAAATTCTAGAGTGGAGTGTCGACACAGTCACTTGTTTGATCATGACAGTTTATTATATATATGTACACTGTACATGCACAATATCAGCTAAAACCTGTGTAATAACAGCGATAAGTTAATTTCTGTTATCGAACCTTTGCCTAGCCTTGTATACATGTTGTTCCGTCTAGGGATTTTTAACCATATTAAGATATTTTTTGCACATTACATTTTTCAGTGATTCATCCATTACAGTACTTTGCCAGCAACAACTGATCGCAATAATTACATCGCTGTAATTAAAAAAAAAAATGACCGCATTTCTTTGATGGCTGCTAAGGATAACCTTTGCCATTTGAATACAGAACAAGGACTGTGCTTTGCCAAAGCTTGTATTTTAAGTTTTCGTGAAAGTTAAATTTTTTGAGAATTATGAAAAAACAAACAAACATAATGTTGTAACTATTACATCCTTGCTCATGGAGAATCAAAACTGAATAACAAATTATTAATTATGTACAATCTTTTCTTTGAAAATGTGACATCACTTGAATGCAAACACAAAGAATGATGACATCACTTCATGCAAACACAAAGAGTGATGACATCACTTTAATGCAAACACAAAGAATGATGACATCATTTGAATGAAAACACAACGAATGATGACATCACTTGAACTTGACCACTGTGAATGATGACATCACTTGAATGCAAACACAAAAAATGATGATATCACTTGAATGCAAACACAAAGAATGATGACATCACTTGAATGCAAACACAAAAAATGATGATGTTAAAGTAAAATGAAAAAAAAATGTTTTGACTTTCCAAGCAGGGAGCTAATTTTCTATTGTTTAAAAATATAGGCATAATTCTGTTGATAATTATTATGATCTGTTGATGTAAACTAACACTGAACAAAATTGACTTCATTTTTCACAGACTGCAGTGAGGATATCAGTGATGTCATCTCAGTGGATAGGTACAAGACGGTATATACTGATCCAGGCAAACAAATACTCATTCTGTATGCTACTGAGTATGGATTCAGTGAAGATGTTGCTAGGAAACTATATGACAGGTGAGAATTTTCCATAAAGAAGAAAAAAAATGTTTTTATGTTTGTGAAAATATTTTTTTATTTGATTAAAAATTATTTTTAAAGTTACTTAAGGCTGGACTAGTAAATCATACATTGAGTATATCAAATATGTGATGGTTAATATGAAATATATTTTCTTGATACAGCTAAATGCTAGTCATTCATTACATCAAAGGAAGTCCATTAATTCAAAAAAATTAAACTTTGATGGAAATAGCATCGCTAATTTGCATAGAAATAAATAAAAAATAGCTAATTTGCATAATTTTTTTGACCTCCTTCCCAAAATGGGTATTAAAGTAGAATTTATAAATATTTATAAATATGTATTTAGAATTTATAAAAAAAAGCATGCGTCTTCATGAAATTCACTGATTCAATGTGTCAAATTTGTTTTTTATAAATTGTTTTAAAGTTGTTTATCCCCACCAAATTCATTCCTGCCCACAACCCCCCACAAAGTTTCTAATAGGCTTGATGTTCGTTTTCTTTTGGTTGCTTTTCCCATAGACTTGTTGACTTTTCTGTTTCTAAGGATGATATATTCCAACCACGCATACTAAATGCCAAGGATTATGAACTCATCAGTTTTGATCAAGAGCAACTTCTTTTACTTGTCATAGCAACAAGCGGCGATGGTACGTATAAAAGCTGCCCGTCACTGCATCAAGAATCCTATCACTACATCTCTTTCAAATATAGAATTTGTGAATCAGCAAATCGTGGGTTCTTTTTTTGTAAATCACATTCGCAAAATAATCGAAGGCGGCGAATACAAATGTTCTTATTGGTCGTTGCACCTAATTGAGCTTTGATGTTGGTGGCGTCTTCATAGCATATGTCATATAATAGTGCATTGTGCTTCATCACTTGAGGGCGCTAGACTGGTTTATTGAGTTTATGAATATATATATGCATTGTGCACATATCATGTGTACATGTATTTTTACTCCTAGGTGTGTCACCTTCTGATGCTAGACCATGGTATAATGATGTCATGACAACCGATTCCAACCTCCGTCATCTCAACTATTCTGTGTTGGCTTTGGGTGATTCTAACTATCGATATTTCTGTAGAGCGGGACAAATGATAGATTCCAGGTATTTTGTTCTGTTTTTCATTTTTTTTTTGTCAGTGAAAAATTGTATTTTTTTCGATGGATGCTTTGAAGCATACTGTTGTCATGACTACGTATGTATATATGCCAATACACTTGTTTACGTTTTGCGTGCATACAATGACTGGTAGACAAGAGCTGGTCATACACACTTGAAGATAAAATTAAATATACATGTATGTGTTCCAGCTTATAAAATAAAAAATCGGCAACGTTGTCATGGGAGATCATGAACTATTTCTAAGCGACATTTGTTACCAGGAATTTGCATGCTGGTTAACAAAAATGTAAACATATGGCCAATCTTATCACTTATTTCATCACTGCACAGCGCCCTCTATCGACAATTTGATTAAACATGGAAAATTTGTTCATCATAAAATATTTTAGCCAAAAAATAAAAATTAAATTAAATCAACATTACTGCACCATTTTTGAAAAAAAATAATTTGGCCGGAAACATTTTTTTTCTGCCTTCATTCAGGTTTACCATTTTACAGTGATATTGCAATTAAAAGACACATGAGTCAAGTTTTGCGAATTAGGTAAAAATAAAAAAAATTTATAAGATTGTAAATTTTACTGCATTCTTTAGCTGAAGACTCAGCATGACATTTTAGTCACTGCAATTATTACAAGAACATTATTGGTAGTGGGCAAACATTAGACAGTACACAGTAGTATTAAATTTGTTTCTCTTACGCATAAATTAAAGGAGGCAACTGAATTTTAGTATATTGTACAGGTTATTATATTTAGGTGCTAATAGACTGATTGAGAGGTCTAATGTGGACATGGAGGACTGGACAGTCATCAATGACTGGATTAAGAAAATTATTAGTTGCCTAGAAACTGTTGTTATAGAGACAAGAGTTGATTACATGTCATCTCGGTTACCTTGCAACAATGATGGATATTGTCGAACACGTCCATTTGTGGCTAAAATGAAGGTAAAGTACATGTGACATTAATGAATGTTTTGGAAATTTTGCAAAAAAAATCTTTGATCAAATAAAAAATTTCAAATTTTGAAGAGATTTGTTCAATATCACATTATATACAAGATGCATTAAGGGGTTTTCTGAAACATAAAATGTTGTTTCAGTCGTGTACTAAATTATTTAAACTATTTTTGAAAATGTATGTGTGAATTTTGCTTTTAAATGAGGGTTGAGGATTTTCCCAAAGAATGGTTTATGACAATGCACCCTCTAGCACAAGCTCATAGTTATCTTTTGTTTATTTACAAATGACATTGGGTACAAAAGACCATGGGTACCGGGGGTAATTAAAACATAGCACAACAAACTTGTCTTCATTTAGGGGCAAAGATCAAAGGTGATTTCAATTACTATGGCCAACTACTGAGTTGTTTTTAGTGTTTGTTTCATTTCCATTTTTTTTTT